AAACCTTAGCTACGACGAAAGTAGGGGGAAAACAAAACCAAAGACCAAGAAATATTGGATGGAAAGGGCGGGCTTGCTTTATTGTAAATGTCAGCTTAGTACAGGGTTATCTACCCACATCTAATAAACAAAAGTTTCCACGTTTAGCTTTTATTTTTAATTTTTCAAGCGAAGATTAGATTAGATTTTGGCCGGGCGTGCACAAAAAAATGCGTAAGCGCCAGTTGCTCTACATACCTGCGTGGCCCTTGCGACGAAATGGCTTCACGGGATTGGAAAAGTTTCAGTGACAGCAAATTATACAAAAAATCTTGAAAGTTTAAGCTTACATCTCATCTAACGTTTAAAGCGACATATCAATGCCTGCAACCATTATGTTTTATACGAACCTCGCAAACTTTTGAACACGTTCTCTTGTGATACCTGCGAAAGTATTCGGTATAATTTCCGGTAAGATTTCGCGGACAATCTGATCGATTTCTCTTACATTGTGTGCTGAGACTGAAACTTTTCACCTCGGGCAAAGCTTCGTCGCACGGCCGAGACAAACATAGCGAGCAACAGAGCTTGTTGTAGATGTGCGTGTTAATACACACGAAAGGACTCCAAACGACACTTCACTCTGATTGGGCAGAAAAACACAAAGATTTTCTGGCACCAATCAGATGCCAGAACGACTGCGACCGTTTGGAACTAGTCTTGTAAGACAATGTCCCCAGGGGCTCTTCTGCCCTTAACTTGAAATCGACTCACTGCCCCTGGGTCTCCGAGGATGGTATGTGTCGAGTGTTTTGTCTGGCATTTGGCGATAAATCATCACGTTATCGCGCTTTTATTAGCTAAAAAAGAGTAGTAAGCGCTGTTTTTTAATTAAATGATCAGTTTTTTAAATATTTTTTTATCATTTTACGTTATATTTCCGTACTTTTAGCGTGTCACGGCGACATGGATGAGTCTCATCAGCACAGTAACGTGCAGCGTGCCGCTCAGCATGCTTGAGGAGGCATCGCGAATCCTGCGGAATGATAATTTACAAGCCGCCCCGCCACCAGAGAGAAGGCCGAATGCAAACAATGTTAACGTGTCTGATGTTGTTCGGTCTGCTAGAAGCATGCTCAATGCAAGCTCAAGCAATGGAGTTTTCAGAAGAATGAATTGTTCAGAAAGAGTAAGGTCTTTTGCCATATACCCCAACCGCCAAATGCAAGCACGAGCTAGGTCCGCACCCGGGAAACAGCAGCAAACCAAGGGTAAGGGGGAGAAGAAAGTTCTGGAGTTTGCCGTATTAAAATGTACAGAGGAGGAGCAAGAGAACATGAAGTGGGACTCAGTAATAGCAAATGGAATGTTGTTATTAAATGAAAGCGACTACGAAGAGGCAATAAGGGAATCGATCAAAGAGTCCCTTAAAAGAAAGTTTCCAATGATTGGATCAAATGATTTTCAATTTGTAAATGTTAGACAAAGGAAAATTTCCATTCTGGAGCTAGGCCCAGGAACTGAGTACAGTTTTGCAGTTGTTAAAAAAATGGCAGGTCAAGGTGTGTTGTACATAAGAATTAAGCCAGGCTTTGAATTCTTGTATGAAGAGGATAATGACAGTTGTTTGGAAGTTTCTTCTTTGGAAAAAGTAGAGGAAAATAGCCATCATACTGTCAGTAATAGTCCTGTACAGCCTGTTGTCAATGCCTTTAGAGGTGGAGATGGGGATAAACAGCCCAACCAAGAAGGATCCAGAGAACTTAACACTTTGGCACTCAGCGACCCTCTCTATGCAGGTGATTTCCCTGACAAGGAACCTGATGAATTATTGCCTGAAATAGAGAAACACTCACTATCTGACCCTGTTGAAATTCTTAAGTGTCTGCAGCAACAAGTAATTAAGGGCAGAGCCTTAGAAGTTGTTGACAGTGGCAATTTACCAAAGGGTGAAACTAATTATATTACAGTTGATTGCTCCAACATATTAACAACAACATTTGCAGAATTTGAATCCATTAATGACTTTTGTAAGACTTTTGAGGAACACTTCATGGGGGAAGAAGCTAGGGATCTGGGAGGAGCCAGAAAGGAATGGATTCGCCTTATGAACCATGCCATGAAAGAAAAATACTTTACTAATGCCTTGCGGGAGTTTCTCTCAGATGAATACTTTTTTGTAGGAGTAATGATGGGCGTAGCCCTTCTTCAGAATGGTCAACTGCCATGCATTCTTCCACTAGATGTAATTGATAGACTAGTTAACAAACAAGAAGAAGACAAGTGCATAATAAATTTACAGCAGGGACTTGATGTCTTTGGACTTGTCAGAGTCTTCAGAGGCAAGCCAATATTGCTTTATCTACTGAGGCCCAGCAATGCTAGTTTGACCTTTGCAATGCAATTAAAAATGTTAAAGCCTGTATTTTCTCCAGATGGGTCTACAGCCTGCTCAAAGGAAAAGGAAGTCTATGCCTGCTTTGTCAAGTATGTGCGTCAAGTAGCCAGTGGGAGAAGGCATCCATTGAGCTTAAGTTCAATTCTAGTTTTTGTAACAGGGGCAGCAGAGGAGCCAGTACTAGGTTTCCCCTTGCATCCATCTATCGAGTTTGCCTATAGAGAAACATTCCACAAGGTAGGGCAGTTTAAATGTACATATGATTTAAAGGTCGTATGACATGACTACTGAATTTACTGTTATGGAAACTCCTCAAAAATATTGATATTGTTTACAGCTTGTTGTCTCCTGTTTTGGTTCTTGACAGTACTATGTACTCGTTAAAGAAAAAAGTTTAAGTTTTATCATTTACTTGAAAACTTCAGAGATGAGAAGTTGGGAAATATTATTTACTAGACAACTAAGGTACATTTATGAAATTTTCTTTATCTCACTACATCATAACGGTCTTTATATCCAGTCCACAGAAACTGAAGAATCTGTTTGCTACCTTCCAAGTGCCCATACCTGCACAAACACACTGGTGCTGCCAAGAGGGCCACTGATTGCAAAAATGCCAAGTGAACGAGAAATGTTTGAAATGTTTGATCTTGCATTTTCCAACAACCATTTTGGAAAAATGTAACTAGTTTTTAGAGCAGGAGCAACAAAATTACCAACAAACAATGTTTAGATTATGAATAGCCATCATTGGGTTGATGTGTTGGTTATCACATTTGGTACACTTTGATGAGAACAGACTATCTAACAGTTGTCTGCTTGGTGACCTAGCCTTTGAAATGCACCTAGTAAGCATTAAAACAACTTAATTTACACAACAAAAGCAGTGAGGTCTGTATTAAAACTAGCTCACCTCCAGCCTCGCTGCCATTCAAAGGCCAGGTCACTGAGTAGACAATGGTAAAATGGTCTCTTGTTTCTTTTGAACTTTGTATCTCAGTAGTCTTTCTTTGCATATATGAACCACACAAGTAAATATTGATTTTGGTAAAAAAAAAATTGACATTTTTTAAAATTTGGTAAATTAACATTATTTGCAGTGGACTTGCTCAATGACCTCATATAGACCTTCCCCTTCCCCCTCTACAATGCATGTCAATCAGGAAATACAATGAACATTGTTTAGGAGGAGGGGAACAGGGTATTATGATTTGCACAAGTTTATGTTTGGCATCTGTCCATGACTGAAGGCTGCTCATAATTGATTAGCCAGCACTCTTCACCTCAAGAGCAATAATACCCTATATTGTTCAGCATTTTAGTGCAACCTAGTCAACAAGTAGATACGGTTGTGTTCAAAGTAAATCCTGGTTTTAAACTGTTTGATTTTGCAACTTCAGTCAGACTTTTGGATGTAAAATTATTGTCATTTCATGTTTATTGCAGTAAAAACCTTCATTTTGAAAATAGGGTCTTGAATTCTAAGTGAAGTTTACTGTATTTACCTGTATGTCATAGACACTATCATAAAATAAGATCTGCATATTCCATTGATGAAATGCTCAGACACAGCCTTGGAGATTATTTTAGTCCATACACTTTTTGAACCTTGATCTGCTTCAAACCCATCTCCCATTGTGCTTCCTTTATATCACATCCAGCCTACAGGCCTGTTTGTTGAAGTCCTTTAACACATTTCAAATAAATTCTCCTAAGAAACCAAAAATGGGGTGTGTTCCAGTATTTTAACATGCCATTTTTTGAACTTGGGTAAATATGGTATACAATATATTTGTTTTAGCTTCCCTGGGCAGACTGAAATGTACTGTATGCATGAAACAGAACATCAAAATGATCAAATTTTAGCAGTAACTTGAGTCTTTACTGTATTCTCAGAACCTAACAGTGAGCATGCTGTCATATCTTATGTCGGATGGTTGGACGTCACTTATCCCTTGCAATGCTCAAATCAAAAAAACAGTTTGATCTACTACTTCAAAATGCATTTCTGCGTCTACTTGAGTTTCATTATTAAAGTTTTGTAAAACAATTTCTGCGTTTTGAAGAACAGACTCTAAAAACTTGGGAAGATCAGTTTCTAAATCAAAAGCACCAACATCTGCCATTTTCAAGTTATGGTTTCTATTCCAAGTCCCCTACAAGCCAGGTTTGGCCGTGCTTGCCCCAGGAAGATTGAATGAATTTCTCGGGGATTGCATTGAATATGTTCTTGAGTGGATTGAATAACTAGGTATATTTCCGTGATTGGATTGAATAGATATTTCCGTGATTGGACTGAATAAACATTCACTCTTATTAAATTATAATGAAAAACATGGGTTTGAATTGAATCCTTTTTCGGATTGTTTGAATATGTTTAGAAAATTGAATGAAATTGTATCACGCCAAAATGATTGGATTGAATAAATATTTGACTCATTGAATTTTGCTACAAACGGCGTGCCATAGTTAAGCAAAAAGGCTTGGCAACCAAGCACACAACTGTAAAATGGACTATCGTTTCAGTCAGTTTTCTGTTGATCAAGGAAATCAAGAATTTTTTTGGTCAATCGAGAATTTAGACGCCCATATGCTGGTCAGCGGTCGTTTTCGCGTCAAAATATGATCACGCGATGCATGCTAAAATGGCACACCAGTAGTGTCCGCAATGTTGAGTGTGCCACAAATTCCATACTTGGCGCAAATTGTGACGACGGAACGACAAAATCGTCAGTGATGAATTCGTGTCTCCTTCCACAGTGAAACAAAAGTCGTGGATTCCAGGTTTATATGATCTCACCTCCGCATAAAGGGCGCTACATACGGTCTACACTCATCATAACTCGAATCGAATAGAAAAGCGTTGATTTCTTACCTATATGTCCAGCCATCCTGTCATCAAAGGGTGTCTTATTATGTTGCAACAGTAACTGCGTTCTTTCTCCCGGCGAAGCCATAAGAGTTTGCGGTCCTCTCCGTATGTAGAACTGGAACTCTCCCCTGTCGCTCTTTCTACATTCATGGGGGCCGTTCTCGCTTGCCGTAGCCCAGATCACAAGTACGTGCTTTTCGTTGTAAATTTCAGGAGAAAGTATGGGATAATATGGAGGCTTGATGTTTCCTTTACAAAGTCCATTTATTTGTCTCTGTATATTGTCAAGATCCTGACTGGGGACGCCACAGACTTGAACTTGACCATCTTCTGAAGGTTCATCTTCAATACCGATAATGATGTAACCACCGTTATCATTAAGGAAATCATTTCCAAATGCAGTGATAGAATGAAGGATTTGAAATGATGTACCGCCTGTATTCCATGATGCTTTAAATTCAACTCTTTGCTTCTCGACTCTATGCACTCTCAAAAGATCATTAATGTTGATAATCAAACGACTGGTGAACGATTCGTTCGCCATTTTCATAAACTAAATCCCACTTTTCATTTGATACGACGTTTGACGTCCCCTCTAAACTCGCCGGTATAGGCTTCCTATTGGATTCTAAAAATAGGAAACTAAATTTTTTTTTCTTCATTGACCAATGAAAACATGAGTTGCAGCGAGTCGCGCAAATGATTGAGATGCTAGTCACGTAATAGGTTGTACAGTCTCGATTATCCGGACTTTTTATTTGGTCCCAATTTTGTCACGAATATTTATCAGTCATGATCAAGATCCGTAGCCATACACTTTTCTAAACTCCAAAGTGAGTTTGTTTCGCTTTCAATAATGAAAAGGAGCGCTCGTACGCGTGGTAACTAATGAATAACATTCGAATGAGTAGCTAAATTACTAAGTGAGAGTTCACGCTCTATTGGGTGGTTCAGCGTGGTAGGCAAGATAAACAAGCCACAGTGGCGCGAATGTTTATTCACGATCATCATGTTATATATATCTGATATCCGCAAGAACAAGGACACGATTATGAAGTTTGCCTACAACTTGGAGACCAGCGAAGGATTGAAGCGTAAATTGCTGTAGGTTAGTCGCATCAGAGTTAATAGAGGGGTTGCACATTATCTCTCAGTTGCACATAATGAACAGCTCGTTAAAGACTTCTATGCCTAGTTCCAATGAGTCCGGATAATCGAGGTTTGACTCTACTTGAGGATTTGAGAGAGACTTGGGGGTTAGGACAAAAACAGGCTGGGTGAATAGCACTTGCTAATCACTTCCGAACAAGCTAATCAGAGCGAGCGAAAAGCACTATTCATCTGTGTGGTATTAAACTAATTTGCGATCTCTAAGCTAATGTTTCGGGCCATACGATTTGATTTTCGGGAATCTTTCTAAGAGTGCTTTTGGCAGCAAACCCGGTTAGACGCAGTACACACGAGACAGGTCACGAGGTGGTCTCGTGACATATGTTTGGGAAGATGGACAATAGTATTTGGCATTACTCGAGGACTGTAAAAGCAGTCTAAAAGCGCTCTTGCAAGATCGGCAAATAGGAGCAAATTGTGTCTTTCACGAGGAAGGCTGAATCATCAACCCAAGGTAAATGATTCTTGTTCTTTCCATTAGGCTCTTTGTCGATTCAAAATCTACATCAAAGGTTTGTAGCCCCGACATCGACAAGGTTTGACCAAAGCGTGCCAAAACGTCATGTAGTTTGATTTGCAACCACTGGCGTCATGATTCTTGGTTTGTCTCTTAATATTCTTACCGTGATCTGAAATTTTCTAATAATGTCGCAGTTGCGCAACCTGGATTTTTAGCTGCCATAGGACACAATAATAATAATAATAATAATGACACCTTTATTTAGACACGATAATGTTTTAAAGCTGAACAGCTTGTGGGGTCGTGTGTAAATCTAAATAAACTCTAAATTAAATAAATTCGAATGATGATGGTTTTTGAGGAGAGGGGAAAACCGGAGTACCCAGAGAAAAACCTCTCGGAGCAGAGTAGAGAACCAACAAACTCAATCCACTTATGACGCCGGGTCCGGGAATCGAACCCGGGACACATTGGTGGAAGGCGAGCGCTCTCACCACTACGCCAACCCTGCTCCCCTACATGCTACTGAGGAACATTTTGACGAATCCAGTCTTTTTACGCTTACGAAAATAAAGACGACTTAGTTGCACTCTTTTTTTCAGGGGAGCGTACACGGTTGCTTCACAATTTCAGCTATGCGAAGTTTATCAGACGATTTACGTAGCTAGTTTTGCTAGTTTCTGATCAGTTCTCGTTCATTTTGCTCGTCATTGGCATGCCTTTGTTGATGTAGCTAACATGTATATATCTAAA